TCAAGTCCTTCCAGTCACGCCAGGATGCCGGCTCGTTAATGAGCTTCTTGCTGACCGCTTTTAATATGCAGGTTCTGCAAGAAAACGGCTAAGTATCTACATAGTATGCATTTTTATCATTGACTTTGACTGCCTGGATAAATTTAAACATATTTTATAGAAACCATACACGAAAATATCCTTCCGTGTTATATTTAAAGAAAGGGTATCTATCGGTTGCATAAAAATGTGTAATTATGAGATTTCTTACGACTGTGAGGTATTTATTCATAATACACAGGATCTTTTAGAGTTGCGAAAATTCCCATCGAAGAATTTAAACTGGACTTCTGAATTCTACATAGGATCTGTCATTTGATTAATGCCGCCTATAATGTATACAACATGACCCATATCTATTGCAAAATGTATACCCTTTCTTTAGGTATGCATTTTAAAGAAGTCATAATTTGCTACCAAAGGAGCACAAGAAAGAATATTTTCATATATGATTTCTATAAAATATATTTGAATTAGAAAGGGCAGTCAAAATCAATAATAAAAATGCATACCAATTAAGTAGCAATTTTTACAGAATCTACAGAATCAGATAAAAGCTCAGTTAAAAGCCTGCATCCTGGCGTGATCAAAAAACACATAAGATTAGACCGCACGATAATCAATATTCCAACCCTATTAGTGTTGGTTTGCGAGTGATTATCCGTTTTTCGCAAATTGCGGCATTTTGCGATCCATCGGTCTGCTGACCAAGATCGGGCCTATGCAAGGTCGTGCAATATCGACATTATTGAGGTAATCTAAATGCGCGAGGGAACGTGTACGACTAGTTTCTCTAGAGCTTCGATTAAGAGCCCTTTTGTGTTGCTCAATAGTCTCTATGTACGAAGAAACACCTACTTTTCATCCAGTAATCAGGTCAGATCGGTGTGGATCACCCCAAGGTATTTTGGTAGACGTCAGGACATTGTTCAATGCTTTTTCAGTACCGAAGAAGAAGAAGCGATCACTGGAACAAGAGTTTTATTGTCCTGACGTTT